CTAGTGCCGTGAGAAGAAAGGTGCCTCCTGTCTCTCTGTCCTTGTCCTTTCAGGGTTAGGACCTGCTGGCAGGATCCTGACGTCGCAGCTCGCGACAGTTATGTAGGAAATTATAATAAAAGGGATACTATGCTTTTCAAAAACAAAAGAACAGAATAGAGGATGCAGAAACAACCACAAGCACATTCAACTATTTGCTCTTTGACAAAAGGGGCAAAACACACACTGGAGGAAAGATTGCCTCTTTAATAAATGGAGTTGGGAGAACCGGCTATCCACATGCAGAAAATTGAATCTAGACCCACATGTCTCATGATGTACAAGACCAAAATCAAAACAGACCAAACAATTAAATGTTAAACCAGAAAATACTTATCCTGCTGGAAGAAAAACGGTAAAACTGTTGAAGTCATAGGCATAGGAAAGAATTTTCTGAACAGAAGCCCACTTGCACAAGAAATAGTTTCAAGATTAACAAGTGGGTTCATATTAAATTAAAAAGCTTCTGCACAGCAAAAGAAATAACCAAAAGAGTAAAAAGACAACCTACAGAATGGTTAAAAAAATTGCCAGCTACTCCCCAGAGGTCTCATATCTAGAATAAATAAAAAAATCACACCCCCTAAAAAAGACCTGTTGTAGTCAGAGATTTGCAAGGGAAATAGATTTGATACAGGACACACAATTTATAGGATTATTTTATGATATTTACCCAAAAGGTTAAATACAGAGGAGTGAAAAAGATTAGCCACACACCAGAGGCCCAAAGAATCCAACCAATGACCTGGATCCTATGGCAATGTCCCATGAAAGTCCAGCCTAGAACCCACGGCAATATCTTATGCTTGTCCATACTGAGAATCTTTACCTGAAGGCCCAAGGGCCATTGGTGGAAGACAGAAAACCTGTGCAGGTGAGGTGAAGAATTGGTTCCACCAGGCTGAGGGATCGACACTGGAGCTAGGAAGTGATGCTCGTGGTGAAGATCAGAGCTCCCGACAAGAACAGCAGCCATTTCCAGCAACAGCAAGGCCCTGAGCGCCTGCTCCGACAAGAATAGCCAAGGTCAAATTAAGAAAACCATCTGCAGCAAGCTTCTCCTAGAAAATCAACAGCCCACGATCTTCCCCACCAGTTCTCTTTTCATGGCTATTGGCAACAATCGTCAGGTGGATCTTCCATGGCCAGACCATGCTGATTCAATTCAGCTGGGTGTTACAAGTTGCTCCACCGCAAGACCCAGTCAAAAAATTGGCAAGAAAAAAATGGAACAGACACTTCATAGAAGAAGTACAAATGGCCAATAAATACAGGAAGAAATTCTCAACTGGCAAGGGTTGGTTAGATATTGAGATAGGGTTGCTGAGGGGAGCCTTTTAATGTCTCAGCAACTCTACAGAGGTAAGGATCACAATGACTATAAACAGTTGCTAAAATCATTTTCTTTAATTTTGTTAAATACATATGTATATGATCAATGTATGACTCCTGCTAGATTTTAAGCTCTAGAAGAGCTAATTTTTTTTAACTTACCTTATCTCTTGTGAGTATTTTTTTGGATTTATACAGAATAGATTTATATGTATGTATGTATACTACTGTATCTAGAATATGCATTTTTATTATATTTTATATATACTGCTTACACATTTAACATTATTTTACAACTTTCAGAATACATTTTTCTCTTGTCAAATAGTTCAGCATTCTCTAGTACTAGCATACCATAGTCTGCAAGTCTTTCAATCGTTAAAAATAAGACAGCATCTCATCCTTTGAGCCACTGAGATGAATTACACACCTCATAAGATCTCTCTCATCACCAAGAGTCTTTCATTTTATGACAAAACCTAGTTCTAGAAGCTTCTCACACCCCAAAAGACTAGAACTAGGGGGACACGATCTTGCAGAACATAAGAGCCTGGTGAATCTGAACACAGTGGCCATGACTGAGAAGAGGTTCAGGGGTCCTGGGGTGACAGATGGGGCTGAAGCAAAAGGATTCAAGGAGGAAATGAGGGTCTTTAGACTCAGGAAGAAAATCAGAAGAGGCAGGCAACACCAACCACAAAATTTCCCAAGGAAGCAGACATCCCTATTAGCAGTATGAATGTTGTGGTCTGGTAAAATATGAATTCCTGAAGACTTAATATAATTTAAGATCTATATGATTTGAGGCTATTTTTCCTTTTTTTTTTTTTTTTTTTTTTTGGTGGTTCCAGGGATTGAACTCTGGACCTTGCAGCACCACTGAGCTAAATCCCCAGCCCTGAGGCTATTTTTCTGATGGGAATAAATAGAAAGTATCTCTATATTCTCACAGCTCCTAAATCTGTAACTACTGTGTTCATTTTTTTGCTTTAAATTGTCTTTTATCATTATTGCCTCGGGCTAGAGTTCTGGCTTCTAAATTCATAGCATGATATATCAAGGCAACTGTTTAAGGTTTGGCACAGCTTTTTATTTATTTATTTATTTATTTATTTATTTATTTATTTATTTATTTATTTATTTATTTTTTGAGACAGGGTCTCGCTATGTAGTTGAGACTGACCTGGAACTCACTATGTAGCCCAGGGTGGTCTCATACTCACAGTGATCCTCCTGCCTCAGCCTCCTGAGTGCTGGGATCACAGGCGTGCGCCACCACACCCGGCTCTGCATAGCAAATTATCAAATCTAATTACTTCAAAATTATTAACATAGGGCATATTTTCCCAGCCCCAGCACAACTACTTAATGAATGCCTGGAGAATCAAAATTTAAAAAAAAATTGTAAGAACAAAAATAGCACAGCAATATAGAAACAAGCAAAATCATTGCCTTAGTGGGTCTTACCCTGAAACAGTATAGTTCATATCACCGGAAAAATATGGCAGGTATAAGTTAATCCTGCCACATAGCAAGAGCACACATAGCTTACAAATTACAGGTCTCAAATAATGTGATTTTTCCCCTAGTCTTTAGAAAAATTTGGGCAGGGCGTATTATTTCACACTTTGCTTATAAGACAGTATTTTCCTGTCACATTATTTCTGTATTTTTGTATTAATTTTTTTTCTAGTATTAGGGGTCAAACCCAGAGCCGGCTCATTGAACGACATGGCCAACAGCTTTTTATATTTAGAAAAAGTGTTGAGTTGCTAAATTGCCCAGCTAGCATTGAATTTGAAATTTTCCTGCCTCAGCCTCCCAGGGTGCTGGGATTACTTGTATGTACCACCATGGCTTGTGATATAAAGATTTTTGAGATATATTATAACTGTGGCTTCAGATGGTAAAGATAGATGAAAAATAAACTGATCCAAATAGAAGTGGTGCCAGCTGGGCAAAGTGACACATACCTATAATCCCAGCCCCCAGGCTAACACAGGAGGATTGAGGCAAGCTCGAGGCCAGCCTGGGCTACATAGTGAGTTCATGGGCAGCCTGCAAAACAGAGACCCAGTCTCAAAAAAACCAAAAAACCAACAGAAGTGGTCCTTTTATCTTTTAAACTTTTTTTTTTTTTTGGTACTGGGGATCAAACTCAGGATCTTGCAAACGTTTGTGGATTATGAATAACATTTTTCTTAAATGCAAGGTAAATTCTTTTACACAGGAGAACTGTTTTGTGAAATTTCTGTTTCTGTAATTTTATTTGTTTGTTTTTGAGACAGGGTCTCACTATATAGTTGAGACTGACCTGGAACTCACTTTGTAGCCCAGGCTGGTGTCGCACTCACTGGGATCCTCCTGCCTCAGCCTCCTGAGTGCTGGGATTACAGGCGTGTGCCACCATGCCCGGCTGTTTCTCTAATTTTAAATATCTAACAAGTCACAAATGTAAATATTCTTATTGTAACTCACTTTTATGAAGATGAAAAGCCACCAATATGTCTTGGAAACAAAAACAAGAGAACAAAAATCTTATCTTTATCCCACAGCTTCCTCGGCCACAATGGTCTTTCTGACTTCCTCTTCGCAGCAAAAAATTTTAAAGTATTTATGGTCATTATTTCTACTACTTCTTTGTCTTACATTTTTCTACCCATGTCAGTCAGTCACCAACGACCTCCATATTGCTGAATCTTGGCTATTTCCCTTTTCTTGGCTTCTGTGACATCACTCTCCACAGGTCGCCATGGATATACCTTCTCAGTCTCTTTTACTGTTGCTTTTTTCTTCATTGGCTTTTTATCTCCCCAGGGCTGTGTCCTACGTCATTTTTTCCATCTATCCTGCATAACCTTATACATTCCCGTAACTTACCATTTTCCCTTCATCTACTGTGTTGATGGGCTTAGTTTCCTGAATATACTCTTATTTCTGTCTCAGCTGTCCTTTCAGCTTGGAAAGCTTTCAGCACTTCAACCTATTTTGACTTTGTAAAAGGAGACCTAGGTAGAACTAAGCAAAACTGTAATAGGACATTCAACTCTTCACTTTATTAATAACCTATCAACCTAATACTTAGGTTCTTTCTCATATATATAAAACACACTCTAGTGGGCCTCAAGAAGTACGTATGGCAAGTTCCTTTCCTCAATTTATAATCTAGTGGAATAGATAAACCCCACAATCGAAGGCAGTGTCAAGGACTCAACTGGATCTTGAATGAATCACACTTAAAAAATGAATCAACTTAGAATGAACCAAACATAGAAAATGGGGCGGGAGGGCAGGGGAGGAGGAGGTGGAGGAAGTTATAGTGAATAAAAACATGGGCGCGCTGGTATTCTTCAATTGAAATAAATAGAAACAAAAGCCAAGGAGGAGAAAGTCCATAGCAGTGACACCAAAATGTGACTTTCAAAACACACTTGGATAAAGATAAAACAAGTAACTCCGAGGTCCTTAATACAAAGTGAACAATACACAGCACAGCCCATGTAACTTTAATTGTGTTTTTCTCTAATGTTTTCGTAGTTAATGGGTCAATCTACCAGCCAGTGTGGGTCTCTGAATGAGAAGCTGGAAAGTGAGCATCTACTATGTTCAAAATTGTGCTCCACATAGTTCAAAGTGTTTCCTAAGGTAAAATCCAACTTAGAAAATTCCAAAGACGCAAGGGAATTGGCGATTACTTCTGTCTGGGGACGGCCCAATGTAGGGTTACCTCATGCGGTGCTGCGCGGACACCTGATCCAAAGCAGCTCAGGACGCAAACAATGCACACTGGCCGCCGCGGGGTGCAGGCGGAGGTCCTAGTCACAATCACCGTTCCCAAACCCCAGAGGATGGGAGCGACCGGCGGGGGTGGGCGGAAGCCGCCCGCTGAACAACTTCCTTTTCCTTCCTTCCATTCCCTCCCACCCTACTCCGCCACCCGGTCCACCCAGGAACTTTCGAAACGCGCACTCTTTACGCCCCTCTCTGTTCACCCCACAGGAAGCCGGTCGCCAGAGGCTGTGTAGGAGGCCCAGCCGGGTTAGAGTCCCGGCCGTCCAGCAGCACACAAAAGCACGCCGACACCGGCGGATCCAGGCAGCGGGAAAGAGGAAAAGCGCGCGGATTGACTCCTCTCACTTCCCGTAGCCGCCTGGACGCAGGGTCCCGCCGGACCGCACCGCACTCCTCGGCGGACGAACAGCTCCCGGGCGGGGCGGCTGCAACCTCCGTCCCGGGTAAGTCGGCAGACGCTGGCCTCAGTGCTGGCAGTGGCCAGGGGCGTTACTGCCCTGGCGGTCGTGCTGGCCGAGGAAGGGTTGGGACGTTGCTGTCCCTAAGTCAGAATTTGGTGAATGGGACCGGGTCCAGGCATCCGGTTCGGCGACGCAGGGAAGCGGTGACCGCGGGAGGCGAGCGAGGAGAGTGAGGGTCGTCGGGCGGCCCGGTCCTCCCTGGACAGCCCTGGCCTGCGGTGGGCCGGGTATCGCCTCGCTGCTCGCCCTTCCACTCCCAACCCCCGCTGCTGTCCACCTGCTCCCTCCTGGCCTTGGTTGAGCGCCACCGCCGAACGGAGGAGGGGACCAGTTTCTCCCAGGCCTTTGCAAGCGCAGACTTCTCTTGCTCTCCGTGACTGTAAGCGCGTGCTTCGAGGTGCTGAGTCATTTGACCGCAGCCCGAGCATCTCTAACGCGAGGCCGGCGAGGCCCCGTGACCGTCCTAAAACCCCAGTGAAGAGTTCTTGGGAAGCCAACGGCGGGACCTGTCCGGGTGCCGCGGGGACGGACTTCGAATGCCGCAAGGCTTAGATCGGACCAGTCTGGTCGGGGCTTACGGTGTGAATGTGGCCCTAGCGACTCAGTTTTCCATTCTTTTTGCCCTGTTCCCGTTTCCTGCTAAACAAAAATTGTTGAGGTTTTGACTAACACGTTAGTGGCACACTCTGGGGGTTATATTTGGGTGGTAAACCGAGAGGGGTACTTTTTTTTTTTTCCGCCAGTAAAGAAGAAATAATAGATCTGGTCAGTGCACATTGCCATACAGTTTGAGAGGATTGCCGAAAGTTAAATGAAGGAAACTCTTTCAGTTCTGGGAACAGTCAAGTTTTTCCTAAACTATCTAATGTAGTTAGTGTTCTGGGAATTTTTATCTTTAAAAATGTATTTGATGCATACCCTTTGCCTTTTAGCAACAAATAAAATAGTGTTTTATTATTTTCTCCGCCTTGATTTAATTATTATTATTATTTTCTTCTCATTGAATTTGGAGGAGAAAAAGCAACGCTTTCTGTTAATAATTATAGCCAACACATAGTGATCACTGTTCTGCTGTTTCGGCTTATTGATTCTTCAGAACAAATTTGTCATACCCATCATGTGAAGACTGTTATTAGTCTCATTTTACATTAGTCTCATTTTACAGACAGGAAGTAGTACTTCTTCTGTACAAGACTGATTAGTATGTGTCATCATTTTATTTTTTTGTTTTGTGTGTGAACCTAGGATCTGAGGACCCTAAGCACACAGCATTGAGCTATACCCCTAGCCTTGTTTAGTATTTTTTCAATAATAATTCCATGTTAGAGGGCTGGGGATTTAGCTCAGTGGCACCGCACCTGCCTCACAAGAACAAGGTCCTGAGTTTGGCCCCTGGTACCAAAATAATAATAATAATATAATAACAGTAATTCCATGTTAGAAATTTTCTGCTGATGTATTTTTACAGTATTTCCTACACTCATAATCCAAAATTACCATATGAATGAATATTCTAGTAAGAATGGGGGTTAGAGCTTTGTAATAACATTCTATTATTTGGCAAATATCAATAAAATAACTTACAATTTAAACAAAAAGTTATTGAAGAAAAATCATGCTTGTTTTTCTTTTCATTTTGATTTTATACAGGGCAAATATTTGCTTCAATCTGGATAACCTTCACATGGAACATAGTTAAAATCTTAATCACTGAAGAGAGATTCCAGTCAACAAAGTCTATATTACATTGGAAAAGAATTATGTTATCCTTAAACAACCTTCAAAATGTCATCAATAACCCGGTAACTGATTTCTCTAAAATCATTCTTTCCCTATGACTGAATTGAGAACAAGTTTAATTAAATAGTGATTATCCACTAGGGGATAAGGCAAAAATAAAATTCAGTAAACCTTTGTAAAGACCCTCCTATATGTTAGGGACTGTGGTATGTGCTGACTGAAAAATAGGTGTGGCTCTTGTCTTTTAGTGGAGGAAAAGGCCACGTGACAATATGAGATGATAAGAACAGAGTTAAAACAGAAAAAGTGGGAGTACATGGAAGGAATGCCAGAGTTTGGTAGTGGTAGGGCAGGAGGCTGCACCAGAAAACATCTTGTCAAAAGCAAAATGGATTTCTTACTCTACAGATGTTTTTTAACTAAAATTGCATGAGAATTCAACATTTCACATTTTATCTCTACCTTTCAAATATTTCTTAGTACTCGAGCAGGGAAAGTGTCCAGAGCCAGTGCTGAGGGGGAACATGAGAAGTAAGGATCTCGTCTGGCCTGGCTGGGCCAAGAACCCTGAATGAGTGTAATTGCTGGAAACTGTAGAATTTGTTTTAGTTTTATGTGGTGATAAGAATCTGGAAATGTCTAGTTTCCACTTATTTGAAGCTTCCTTTAGTTTTGAGGTAGGGCAGCTGCTTTTTTGGTAAACCCTGTGGGAGACTTTTGGTCATTAGGGCTGGCAGGACTCTTAGAAATAAGGGCCTAATCCAGTCTTGTTAGTGTGCGATCTGACTTTTGTTAATTACTTTGTAGTTGTAATTCCTTTTCCCTACATTTTGATGTCAATGTGTAGGAATGTGATGCAACCAGGCAGGCAGATGGCAAGTGTGAGGTCAGCCTGGGCTACATAGTAAGAATCTGTCTTAGACAAAAAAAATGGGGAGGGGGGCTCAGTTTTAGAACAAATGGCCTTCAGTAGTAATAGTTTTTAAAAGGAAACCTTGCTCCATTTGACACCAGTGTAATATTTTAAATGATTGGTATAGTTTTAAAAATCTCATGCTTGTAGACTGATTTTCTAGAGATTAAAACACAAAATCAGGATACTTGCCAAGGGAGAGTGAAGTATGTCACTTTGCCTCAACCTGGAGGGCAGAGGGAATGGTCAGGTTACACTGCCCACTCCTGCCCTTCACACAAAAAGATGTCTTACTTAAATGTTACAAAAGAATTTTTATTGACTATAATCCCTGCATGTCTTGGTTTCAGCATGCAGTGATTCCTGTGACTTGTAGAGTCAGCACCTTGACTGCAGGGTCGGAACAAAAATAAGTAGACTTTAAGGGAGGAGTCAGGAGAAGCAGTGTTGCCAGGGACCTGGAAGTGCGGTTAGGCGTTGGGAGTGGGCGAGTACAGTTCTGAGGGTAGTTCAAGATCATGTGTTTCTAAGAGATGTTGCAACCCCATCACACCCAGTTTCTCTGTTATAGTCAGTTCTAACAAAGGGGTGGGGTCCAAAAGGGGAGAGGTAGACAAATTACACTGGATGGCAAAAATAACATTTTGTTCTATCTTTAAATTTCTGTCATTAAATGTGTGTAGTATCTAGTTCTGTTTGTAGTTTTTTGTCCTTGCTGTGTGCAAAAGACCTTCCCCTCTAAAAAAGAACCTGCAGATAATTTAGATATTTTAAGTTAATCAACTAGGATATTTGACCCAGAAAAACTTATTTATTTATTTATTTGGTACTGGGGATCAAACTCGGGACCTTGTGCTTTCAAGGCAATTGGCGGAACCACTGGGCTAAATCCCTGGCCCCAAACTTATTTTTTAAATCATGGTTTTATTTGTTGGCTACTAGTTCAAACAGTGAGAAGTATTTATTGCATCTCAACTGCATTATTTGTTAAGCATTTTGAAAGTACAACTGCCATCTTTTGGTTTTTATTTCATGAATGCTTTTAAACTTTTGGTCTATACTTGTGACAACTGTCCACATTAACTTTTCTTGGAAAGATGTTATAATTGGCCTCTGTATTTTTTCTTATTTGGCATATTTCTTCTAGTTCCATTGATAGAATCTAAGACTTAAAAAATCAAGTACATTTTTCTCTCCATTCACATTTTATTTTATTTTTTGAGGTAGCATCTCACTATGTAGATCAAGCTGGCCTTAAACTCAGTATGTAGCCCAGGCTGGCCTCAAACTCATGGCAGTCCTCCTTGCCTCAGCCTTTTGTTGTTTTGTTTTGTTTGTCTGCTTTTGGTACTGGGAATCAAACTCAGGATCTTATACCTGCCAGGGCAGGCACAACAATGCTGAGCAACATTCCTGGCCTTAGCCCAGTGTTTCTTGTTTTTGTTTTGTTTTTTTCTTGGTAGAGTGCTGGGATTACATCAGTGCACCATGCTTGGCTTTTGCAATTCAAATAGAACAAATTATTTGGAAGACAATTAAGTTCAGACCAGAGAAGCTGTCAGTGAAATCATGGCAGTTCATTATCTTTCTATACATTTTACCATTGTTGTTTGTTTTAGCTTTCTTAAGGTGTGATTAAGTGCTAGCTGGCTAAGAAGTTACTTAGAGATTAGACAGATGGGTTGTTTCTCTAGCTTTTAAGCTGCTTGTCAACATTTCTCTCTCCTGGTTCTGAAAGGAGACTCAGGGCCCTGGTTTGACAGGTCTTTCTCTCTCCTTACCCCTATGCTGAGCTCCCTAAGAACACCCAACTTTGGTGACCAGAAGAAAATGGTGCCCACGGCTATGATTTATTGCAGTAGGAGGTCATAGAGCAAAACTGCAACAAGCAAGGGCAATAGGGGTCAATATCCAGGTAACACCTGGGACAGTATTCTAAGGCTGTCTTAAATGCTCCAGCATGAAATGTGACTCACCTATGAATTGCTGTTAGGGAAGCTTTTTAGACATTCTTTGTGCCCAGGGCTTTTACTGGGTCTGGTCACATAAGCACCTTCTCCTTTGCACATATCACAGTTCTAGACTCACAGAGAAAAGCAGGTGTTTAGCATAAATCATATTGTTTGCATTTACCATTAGGTAGAGGTACCTATACTTATTGTTTAGGTAGGTACCTCCTAAAATTTCAAGTTTAGGTACTGTCTGAGTTACTTTCTCATTGCTGGGATGAAATACTGAACAATTTAAAGGAGGAAAGGTTTATTTCAGTTACAGTTTGTAAAGGTTTCAGTCATAATCAGCTGGTTCTAAGGCAGGGTGGCACAGCATGGGGATGTGGCAGAGGAGAAACAGTCCACAGCAAGGCAGGCAGGAAGCAGCAGGAGCATGCCCGCCTTCTTTCTGTCCCTATGTATTTCATCTAGGTTACAAGCCTATTGGTTGGTACCGCCTACAGTCTGGGTGGGGCTTCCGTTACCTGTATCAGAACAATAGCAAGCCAATCAGTGGGCTAATCCAGTTATCACACCTGTAATTCACACCCACTCTTAATTTACATTCACACACCTTTAACCCACATTCACACACCATATATCCAATAGCGAATAGCCCCACCTATACGTGCCACTGAGGCTTTGAGAGGACATCTAGGTACAAGCCGGGTAGGGAGGCCTTTCAGGGGATGTAGTCAGGTCCTTCATAGTAACTGGGGATTTAGCTCAGTGGTTTCGCCTCCTACCTTGTAAGCACAAGGGCCAGAGTTTGATTCCCAGTACCAAAAAAAACAAACAAAAACCAAAAAACAAATTAGTCATAGTAACTATGGATACCTCCCAATGTCAGAAACTCACTGAGGCTTTGTCTCCCAACTCAGCTCTCTGCTCTTTCCTTTCTTCCTTGGTAGTGGGGACTGAATCCAGGACCTTTGCACTTAGCTATATCCCCAGCCCTATTAATATTCTTATTTATTGTTCTGTTAATATTTTTATTTTGAGACAGTCTCACTCAGTTGCCCAGTCGGCACTCAAACTCCAGATCTTCCTCTCTACACCTCCAAGAGTGCTGGCTGGGATTACGAACATGTGCCACCATGCCCACCTTCTGAGTTTATGTACTTCGATATCTACGCTAATCATTTCTACTCAGCCTTGTGAACATGAGTGCTGAGCATCCACTGACTGTGTGGCCCTGCATCTCTAATTCCATTCTGTAGACTTGCTTTTAGATGTCCTGTGAACCGTCCCACTAAAGGGGATTAAAGCTTTCTTCTGAACTTTGTTTCCTTCCCAGCTTTGTCAACCTGGTGGCTCTACCTAGACAGTTTCTTTAAAATATCCCTTGTGTCTGTCTCCTCTCTCCCTGCCCTGCCCCAGTCTGTCCAGTGGCAGCAATCTGTCTCGTGTCTGTGTCCTTAGTACCTCCCACCAGGCTGCAGAAGTCTCCCAGCTCCCTGCACTGGTTGGTGAACTCTGCTTTCATTTCTCATTCTAGAATTGGATCCTGGCCCTCCCTTTCTTTGGTGCTCCCAGGATACATCCTCTCTCCCCAGTAGGTTTTGTCTCCTGCCTCTCTGCCTTTGTAAACTGCCACCAGTGCCCTCTTCCTCAGCCACACTGTATCCAACACACATCATACCTGCTTCTTAGACTGTCTCTGGCCACTTCTGTTGAGGTTCTTCATCACGTTTTCCTGAAGCATTTATTTGACTCTTACTTACTGGCCTATTTTTTTAAATGTTGACTCAGTCAGGGTTAGTAGTTGCAAGAAAGAGAAGCCTACTCTAATTTAAGCAGAAGGGAATTTGTTAAATAATCCAGAGTAGTTCTCAGACTCTTTAGGAGGACTGAGGAGCCAGGCTTAGAGACTACATAGCCATAGACAACCCAAGAAACTCACACCAGAAGACTGCTGTCATGAAGAGACATTACCACTAGACACGGGCTGTACTTTGACCCTGGCAATACCTCCAGTGCTACTACTGCTTCTGGCCCTTGTTTAGTCATTGCCCTTTTGCCAGAGTGAATTCTGCATCACTGTGGCCTCTCACTCATACTAGTTCAACTTAAAGTCTGAGCTGGGAGTTCTGATGTGCAGTGCTGTCACACACTTTGCTTACATCACATGAGAGGCATTTTTTTCAAAAATGGAGAGTCCAATTTTTTATAACTGAACAGAATATCATATTTCTGTCCCTTTTCCCACTCTGATTTTGGGAAAACTTGTATTCCAACAAGTTTTTTCCCCCTATTTTCAGTTTACAGTAAATTCTGGACTTCGAATATTCGAGTTGTGAACTTTCACAGACATGAACAGACCTTGTATTACAAATATTTGTAGATGCAAACAAGTCACAGAAGTAGTTCACATGTCTGCTGAACATTGTCACAGTTGTGCTGTTGTGTGCTTACTGTGTAGCGTGATCATTTACAATAGTACAGTGCACAGTCAGAGCCTAGGGTGTCTGCAACCAAGAGGAAAAGCAGTGGTGATGTGGAGGGGATGCTAGGAAGAGCAAAGAAATATACATTGTGTATCTGTGTCAAAGGTGTGTAAGACTCTGCTGAATTTACAAATGAATCTGATTTATGGACGTTGGTTTGTAAGTCAGGGACTTAGCGTAATAAGTGAAAGTTTCACAAAGCCCACGGCCAAATAAAAACTGTCAATCTTGCATCTTTTTCCAAAGAACTATGCAGTTTGTAGATGTTATAGTATCTTAGACCTGTTGTTCCTTGAAGTCATTTGACTAGTAAAGATGCCTTGGAAAATTCTAGAATCTGAGCAATTTATGAGAAGCTTTTAAAAATGTAGTTGTCTTCAAACTCTGAGTTTGGTTGTAATTGCTTGGTGAGAAATTTAATTTATGTTAACGTACATTTGTTAACGTTTTTTCCCTTAGACAATCCCGTATGTTGGCACCATTTCTGAGCAGTTGGAGCCTGGATCCTTGATTGTCATCCGTGGCCATATTCCTAGTCATGCTGAGCGGTAAAATCACTGTGTTAGAAGCAAGAAAATGAGTCAGCGTTTCTCTGATTGTGAAATTGTGAAATAACAAAAGTAATGTGAGAGAGACCATTTTGATATTTTGAGGCTGGATTTATTTTTATCAACAGCCTCACCAAGGTGCTGATTAAGTGGGAATAAATGCCTGACTAGAGATTATTGGGTTTTTAATTTCATTGTAAAAGTCTGATTTCATTGTGAAGATCCAGCTGTCAGGGAGGCAGCCTCAGGATAGTCTTAACATTCCCGTAGCATCTCTTCAGACTCTTCTCAGCTGGCTTTCCTCTGCTTGCCTTGGGTACCAGCTCTGAACTCAGTGTCAGTTAAGATTGGGCCCATCTCTGTGTGGCTGACGCCCAGGCATCCGAGGGTTAACCACAATGTGGAAGTGTCTCAAGGAAATACCCCCGCCTCTGTCAGCTCCATCTGCTCACAAGAGAAGCTGGTTCCTGGCGCTCATGCTCTTCTCCCTGGGAGAGGCCTTTCTCGGGGTCTCAGCAGCTAGAAATCCAGCCCTCATCTGTGTTTTGAGTAGCTGGGTAGTGCGTGGGGCAGTGGGGTGGAGTTGAGTGGATATATGGCAAGTGCCTGCCTGCCTGCCTTTGAGGTACTTCACTTCTATTTTGGCCAAGCTGTGACCACACCAACAGGCCTGGCTTCCAGGGAGTGGGAAGAGGGAAGTTTTTATTCTGCACCTGTTTGGACCCTGTTCAGATTCAGGGGCTGTGTTATGAGGAAGGAAGAAAGATGAGCGGAGTAACTGATTAGGCCATGCGCAGGTGAAAGGACAAGGAGTTAGTCGTGTGTCCCTTGACCTGGAGGCTGGTTTTGGCCGGGCTTTTCTGCCACTTGTCTTCTAGGGCTCACGTGCTTCCTGATCTGCCCCCCAGATTCCAGGTGGACCTGCAGTGCGGCAGCAGCATGAAGCCCCGGGCCGATGTGGCCTTTCACTTCAACCCCCGCTTCAAGCGGACCAACTACATTGTCTGCAACACTCTGACAAACGAAAGGTGGGGATGGGAAGAGATCACCTATGACATGCCCTTCCAGAAAGAAAAATCTTTTGAAATTGTGATCATGGTGCTGAAAGACAAATTCCAGGTGGGTTGTGGAAAAGGATGGGGACACATTAGAGGACAGTGCACAGGAGGCTCTTCCCACCCTGTGTGTCCCCACCTCTGAGACAGGGCCTGACTCTGTCATCTTCTAAAGAACCTGACAGGTACCAAAGTGTGAGCCAGGCATTGCTGCCCTCTCTCCCATTGTGGCCACATCTGATTGTGTTTTCCCTGTAGGGCTGAGTTCTGAGTTTACACAAAATCGTATTAATTATTATGGGAGGGAGTTATAACCACCACTACCCAAAGTGTGGGGCATCTTGGGGGATCAAACAGGTGGGAACTCCAGCATGTAGAGGAGAAGGGTTATGAGGTCAGGTCTTGCCAAAGGATAGCGCCTTAGGATCCAGAAGGGATCCAGCAAGTGCTGTCCTGGACATCCTAGGGTATTTCATAGCTCATGCCTGTGTGTGAGGTGAAAGTTAGTCCTACAGTCTCCTAGGCTTGCTGGCCTCAAGTATTCATTTTCCTAGACTGGAAGTTCCCTCGACCCCAGTGAGGACTGTCACATCTTGGTGCAGCTCCTCTGTCCCTTGGCCTTATCTTTTTTGCAGCCTGATGTCTGTGTCACTCTTTTTCATGGTTGTCCCTCTCCTGTTGTGTTTGGTCATGTGCCCACCCCCATCCCATTTAAACTTCCTGAGGCAGAGACCCTACTGGGTGTTGCTTGTGTTTCCTGCACCTTCCCTAACAGGGCCTCTGGCATTTGGAGAGGAGGAGGAGCCAGGGTGGCTTCTGACTCACAGAAGGTACTTTTACTGTTTCCACACAGCTGTATCCATCCTGTTACGGTTAAGATACAGATAGGAAACCCAAATCTTGGATCAGATGGGAATGTTAGACTGTGGACCTCAAGGACAGTGGAGGGGGGAATAGGTGGGCAGATCTTACCTGGGTTCCCAGGCCTCCAGTCACCTGTGTGGGGTCCCCAGGTGGCTTCTGACCCTGCAGAGGTCCTGTGCCTACACAGGTGTGCACACACACATGTGTGCTTCTACTCCTGAATGGTAAGTCTGTCTGGAGAGATGATCCAGGTCAACAGTTTATCAGATCCAGAGCAGGAACCCAAAGGTGCAGGTGCCTTTCAGGGGCGGCAGCTGCTTTCAGCCAGTTTGGTCAGCTGTACATGGATTCCTGTTGGGGGAGGTATAGAATTAAACTCAAGGAAACATTTAACTTTGGATAAGTTCATCTGTTAACAGTGTTTTGGGGGCCCTGTCTTCTGTGTCTGTCCAGGTGGCTGTGAATGGAAAACATACTCTGCTGTATGCCCACAGGATTAAACTAGAGAAAATAGACACACTGGGCATTTATGACCACGTGAATGTTCACTCAGTTGGCTTTAGATTCAGCTCGGTGAGTGCCCTTCCTCACATAGTCAGGGACTTTTTGACATATTTTCTGATGAAATGTCAGAAAACTTCTTAAAATAACATCTTCTATTGAGATACAAATAGCATAACTATCTACCTCATTTGAGCACTAATTTCTTGGAAGTGACTCTTAGACTGGTCACATGGTTTTCATTGCTAGTGCTTTCCGGTATGGGAATCTAAAAACCAGGAATGGTCCTAGCAAAACAAAACCTTTTTAGCTGGATAGGGTGTGTGTACTTTACATGGGAGTATGATGCGGTATTGCTGTGAGACATTTTCCTAGAAGCAGATTGAGCACAGTATTTACATTTTCAGTGTTGCTGGATGCTACTCACTTGCCCCACAACAGGTGAATACCACTTGCACTGTCAGCAGCTGTGCCATCTGCTTAACCTGTTCCTGTTGAAAAATAGACCTTATTTCCTAATGCTTGCCAGTTTGGAGGAGGGGCCTATCCCAAGTTCATTTTTGGATAATATTTAAGTAAATTTTTGCATTTAGTGTCATTTCAAATTTTTTGACATTTCAAAGAGTGTTTTTTTAGCAATAATGTCCTGATGGATATTAAAATTAATCTGTATTAATTAATCTTTTCTCCAGGATTTACAAAGTACCCAAGCATCTACTCTAGGACTGACAAACATAAATAGAGAAAATGTAAGCATTAAATCTTTTAATGAACCTCTGGTTTAAAGCAGTCTTTCTAGGATTTCCAGTGGCACAGTCAGTACATGGTACTTATATAAAATAGTCTTTTTAGTTGCCATCAGATGGGAGGAAGGCTGGATTTTTAAAGATTATATTTTTAATATGAGGCCAAGACAGTAGCAGTCATTTAGAGGAACATACTTCTTAGGGTCCCAGGCACTCTAAATTTTCATTGATGTTTAACCTGTTAGTTTATATGACCATCAGCTACCATTCTCATGTATGAAGCACCCTTTCATTCCTAACTGTAGAATGTTCTAGCATAAAGCATTTGAAAGTACTGCACATCAAAGTGAACCTGCCTAAGTATCTTCTCCCCCTCTGGGAAAAAGTTCAGTTTAAAGAGTGCATCTTTGCTGTTTTTAATAGACAAAATGAAGTCTTAATCTTCTCAGCACAGTCACACCTTCCAGATAGACTGTAATCTCAGCATTTTGCGGGTACCTAGAAGAATAAGATGTGTTTGAAGTTCATGTGTAGTCCTAGGAAAAATTATTTTTTGATGGTGAAGGATAAACTACTCAGATGATGGGACTGTTGGGGACTCTGTTCCAGCCCATGGAGCCTTTTACAGCTCTACAGCATGGTCAGGAAGCAGCACTTGTCTTGTGTGTCACACCCAGGTCCTGGCCAAGCTCAGCTCAGTACAGTGGATCTGCGAAATTCTCAGGAATTACGTTATTAGAGCACCTGCAATTTGTGAAAACTTCAAATTTCAGATATGGTCAGAAAAATGCCTATAAATACCTGTTTTATAGTTTAAACCCTAAATATGCTATGTTTCCTCCCCAGTTACATAATTTAATAAGATATTATATTAATAAAGCCTTAGAAGGTGCAGGGCATTTTGGTGGCATCTAGGGGATCTTTGGGCTTTCAGGAGATTGATACAGGATTGCTGGTGCATCTGCCAGAGAAGGGTAATAGGGCAGCAGTCAATCAGCAGCAAAGAGAACTGAGTAATGCTTTCAAATTGGCCGCTTATAAACCTTCCTCCCTAAATACAATTGCGGAGATACTTGCAGTTTCCTCGAAGTTGCGGGGGTGTCAACAAACAGTTGTTAGGTTCTGAGGAAAAATCTGCAAAGACTGAGACTGTGACTAAACTGCACATTCTGGGGAGTGGGGGGTGTACTGTGTAACCTGTTGTTCAAGCCACCACTGTTATAGAATGTGAATCTTTCCTGTAAATGTTTTAATTTTTATTTCTTTCTCCATAGGTACAAACGTCTGGCATTTCACAGCTTGTAAGTATTTTTGCCTGATTATTCCACATGGAGCATTTTAAAAAATTGCCTAGAAAGTGAAGTTTAACCTTGGAAGGCAGCTCCATTCCGTGCCTCACTGTAGAACTGTTTTCCTGCAACCTAGTAATAGAGGAGACATTTCTAAAATCCTACCAAAATCCACCTGCACCAAGAGCAGAGATTTGACTGTCATTCACAGTATGACTTGCACCAAAATACTACCTATCAACTATTTGTCAAAGGTTTGAAGAGCTCAAAATTATCTTAACTCTGTAAAAAAACTAAGTTATAATTGGCTGTTATGTTACATGAAATCCATACCCCCAATAGAAGCCCAAAGTCGCCACTCGCATTTGTATGCTGTCACTGGACAGTTCTGTGAAAATCAGGCTCATGACTGAGCCACAGGTGAGCATTCCCTCACCACCACCAGCCCCTTCAGGCAGGACAGAGCACTGCCTCTGACCCCAGCACTGGCAACTCAGCCAGTGTCGCCCACAAAGATGGCCTCAGGTCCCACCGCATATGTTTCTGTGGTGTAAAGTGAAACAGTCACTTTGCATGTGCCGTGAGCCAGGTGCAGTGCTGCTTTAAGGCCCCAGCTGGGCCCAGAGCAGATGTAGTCTGTCCTTTCCTCATGTGCACAGGCACTCAGCCAGCCCCAGTGTTCTTTGGACAGTTTTCTCATGAGCTCCTTTCCTCGGCTTCCTGGTTCTGACAGTAGCTTCTTTTCAGACCCTGCCCTTTGAAGCAAGGTTGAATTCCCCAATGGGTCCTGGACGAACTGTTGTCATTAAAGGAGAAGTAAATACAAAGGCCAAAAGGTCAGCGTTGCTGTTACTAGTGATAGTGCCAGGACTTGTCACTTACTGTGCCCGGGATGGCTTTAGGAGAGGTGAAGGGGGGCCAGGGTCCTGTTACCAGGTGAAAGGTGGGAGAGCAGGGGGTGCAGATTACATGGGCAATAACAAGAGAACGAAGGGTCCCTTGCTCCCAGATGCAGCGTCACTCGACTTCCTAGCACTAAGCTTTCAGTTCCCCCAGCCAGCTTGTTGTAAACATTGACTTTTTTTTTGTAATTTCATTTTGCCCGTCGGTGGAATGCTGAGTTGAAAATTCACCTTTCCCCACATCCCATGTCCATGTGCATGCGTTTTCATGTTATAAACATAGTTCAAACCTTATTGTTAAAATTGTAGAATTTTCCTCTATTCTCTTCTCCTTGGCTAACTGGTTCCCTTTTTTCCCTCCCTTTCAAAAGCTTTAATGTTGATCTAGTAGCAGGAAAATCAAAGGATATTGCTCTACACTTGAACCCACGCCTGAATATTAAAGCATTTGTAAGAAATTCTTTTCTTAATGATGCCTGGGGAGAAGAGGAGAGAAATATTACCTTCTTCCCATTCAGTCCTGGGATGTACTTTGAGGTAAGATTATTTTTTTCAAAACAGGAAAGGGTTTCACTACCTCAGTAAGTTGCCCAGGCTGGGCTGTTCTGCACTCATAGACTGGGGTCTTTGCACATCCCATGCCCTCTCCCTGTTTTCATCTGAAGCAGTGTTAACCTGGTTTTGCGCTGTATCTCTCCCACTTGGCTGTTCATTGTTTCTGCATTTGCTCTGATGTAATACAGATAATTTGGTAGGGATTCTCGTTCACTTTTCCCTTGCATCCACCTGAAACCCACATGGCTTTCCTTCTGAGCTATGTAACAGGTTGTGTTTCGTGTTTTCTTGAGATTTTGTTGAATCTCCATCATGCGAGGTCCCTTCTACTTAGTTGAAACAGGAATTTCCACCACTTCTGGGGATATGAAGTCCTATTTCTCTGTAGCCCTAGCGCTTTCATTATGGCCAGCTGTTACCTATGCTGTTTCCCTGGTGACCATTCCATGACTACTATCAGGACGAAGATCCCCAGTTTGCTGCTTTGCATTCAAGTTTGTGCCCCAGTCTGGGCTTTGGGCCTGTGAGCAGCCATGCTGTGCTGCTTCCTACTCTGATGCCCTCAGGGGACCAAGAAGGACAGTGGGTAGTCAGTGGCCAGATTGGCATTGGGAGCGTGGTGTTGGAAGCACAGGGTTAGATGTAAGGCAGTGAGAAAGGATACTATGGTTTTGGGTATGCATTATATGCCTACAAAGTTACGGTTCAGAGTTCAAGGCCTCAGTTCACAGATTTTTCCTTAGAATTTAACTGATTGTTTGTAGAAACCTCAGCAATTTTGCAAAAAATGCAAATATCCTCCACAGTTGTTTCTTTGGTGGGAGGTTTGCAAGTAACCAATCTTGAGTGTTATGCAGTTCTCCTTGCTACTGATAGGCTGCCCAGCAACCCATCTCTGGCAGATGTACTAGCAGTCCTGTGTTTTAATAGGCTGCTGTACCAATCTCAAGTGTTCTCCTTAAGGCTCTAAGAGCCCCAAGATTACACCAAAATGCCTTGCACTTTCTGAGGCTTCTGGCAATGAACCTAAGCCCCAAAAGTGTGACACTCCAGAAAGCTGAACAACTAGATTTACTCTGGGAAGTAAAAAAAAAGTTATGCTGCAGTAGCATTTCTATAGGCATTTTACTATCTGAAATTCAGTTTTTCACAATTAATGGGTGCTCTAGGAACATAACCCCTGCAATTTCAGGGGTCCGCTGTATTTTACTGTTTCAGATGGAGTACTCCAAAGGGCTAACTCTAGTGATGAGCCTGGCAGAATGCTAATCACTCCATAGATGCCTAGGCTCCTCGGCTTCCAAGACTTTTGACAGGCCTGCCACAATGTGCTGATCAGGGATGGAAGCAGGATCACCAGGCAGATGTGCAAGCCTGGAGTGAGCCCCTTGAGCTTCTCAAATTTCCTATTAACTAGTCCTAGAGTTTGAGGCAGCAAAGTCAGGATCCCAGGCCATTGGTTCCTAATTTGCTAGTTGAAATCACCTCCTCCATGAATAAAGGTCAAGATGTCAGCAATTTTCGCTCTTCCCTAGTTCTCAAACACTATGTGGGCAGCTTCCTGTTTTCTCAGGAGTAGGGTTAGGATATGCTGCAGGAGGTGTGCCAGGGAAAGGAGGGTCAGCAGGCTGTGGGGTGGTGTGGGGATCCAAGCATGTGAGTCACTCCAAGTGGGTCCAGGCAGAAGGTGCCACCACAATTTATGGTTGATTTGGGTCAATCACAGGAGGGAAGTGGGCTGCAGTCAGCCCACACATACAGAACTGACACCAAATGGTTTTCCTTTTTTTCTAGATGATAATTTATTGTGATGCTAGAGATTTCAAGGTTGCAGTCAATGGAGCACACAGCCTGGAGTACAAGCACAGATTTCTGCAGCTGGGCAGCATTGACACGGTGGCCATCAGTGGTGACATCCGCTTACTGGAAGTAAGGAGCTGGTAACCAGCAGGAGTGCCACAATCCCCAAATACAGAATGGCTGTGAGATCTTGGCTGAGTCAGCACTCTCCCTGTTCCCGCCTTGTTGAAACTGCACTTCTGTAGCATTATGCTCCACTGTTGTCCCACTGCCCTGAGAGGAAATCCAAGGCGACCACCACATACAGTCAGTCATTGAGGCGATGGCTTTCTCCCCACAAGGCCTCTTTCAAAACCACACTCAGGAAGTATTTAGTAAGTGCCTACTTACTTAGCCACTAACTGGCATTGAGCACATTTTCTGTCAGCACTGTGATAGAGGTAGATGTGCACAAGTGGTGGTGTGGAGCAGTGTCCCTTTGGGGCTTGGACTTTTGGTGCCCATGTGCACTGTCTGCCTTGTTGGGTCCATTGGGTTAAGGATCGTGCAGCTGTTCAGTCACATAAAATACTTTCCGGAAGATGCTACCCCCTCCACAGCAAGTACCTATAGTGTCTCAGTCGCTTTACCAAATAATTACCATGAACATGACATCTGAGCTAAGCAGAGAAGGCCAAAAGCACCCCGCCAACCAAAAAACAACCCCAAAGTAAATAACCCATGGTGTTGAGCTGTTGATGTTTCTGTGAGCTCTGAAGTGCAGGGTTGTGTGCACACAGTGTGTTTAAAGCAGAGGGTAGGTAATTCAGTTTCTTAAACATTTGTGGGCAACGAAATAATGTCAAAATGAAATGTAGTGAATAGGCACTATGAGAAGGCAAAATCTACCCATGAGACCAAAGAAAGCAGAGGCAGCATTAAAATGTTTGCGTGCAAACCAGCATTCACCTCTGCTCTTCTAAAGATTAGTCCAGCAGCAGCAGTGAGATCAAAACATTGTTCCGCTTTAAGTGATTAAAATCTAACCTGTATCAGCAAGTTAAACTGTTGCATTCTGTAATGTTTCTATTACTTGAAGGGAGTTGGCAGAAGTTCCATGTAAAGAATCTTTACAGGTCAGGTCTTGTTAGGAGATTTCAAAGGTTCGAGCCTAGGGAGGAAAATAAGCTAAATTGGTCAGGTCATTTTATACTAACTGGGCAGAATTCTGTCATTGTTTAGGAAGATCTTCATAACAGATCTGGTTAGATATTTGTATCCATATATTAAAAAGAATACTATCAATCTTGTTTTTAAAAAAGTACTCAAGCATTGAAACTGCTAGCTCTCAGTTCTTTCATATTCATTTACTATGTCAAACTTAAGGACATGGTGTGTTTGCATGTTGGAGGTGGGCAGGGATAGCTGTAGGAGGCAAGAAGGTTCTAGAATCCTCCAGGGCTATTTCTTTTTCATAACAAATAGCAGAATGCACAACGGAGATGGCAGAGACCAACAGTCACTTAAGAAAAAACAAAAGCTCACTCATTTCCTGTCAAGTCTTTAAAAATTCATTTTTGTTTTACATGGAGCTATTAGACTGATTCTTTGCTACAAAAAATGCAAATTTCAAAATTTTTTAAAAAAGAATGAACTTTATCGATACACGCAAGCTTTGTCTCAAAACTACAAGTTGGCCTTTTGCTTAGTATAATTCTGCACTAAATTTCTGTATTAAATGAGATCAAAAGCGACTCATTGTGAACATTTTGTGGTGTCTTAGTCACACTTTCTTGGGACAAAACACCCAACACCCACAACTTAAAAAGGAGGAGAGGTTTATTTTGGCTATTTTAGTCCATCGTTGGCTGGCTTCAAGCAGAAACAGCATGCCAGAGAAAAGCTGCTCACCTCATGGGTCCAGGAAGCAGAAGGAGAAATGGGGAACTCTTCCAGGTAACACTCCCCAGTGATTCTACACCCCACCTCCTGCACATTCAGCTTTGAACTCTTAAGTGGATGGATTACTGAGGAGTATAGCACCCCGTGATCAATCACCCTCCAAACCCAAGACGTTTGGGGGACATTTTACATCTGAACTGTGACACATAAGGTAGTTCTCCAATGCCTTAAAAATGAAGGAACATTGATTTAATTTTATTTGATTCCTCAAGTCTAGCTTCACCAGAAAAATCTAGCTTCACCAGAGATTAGAGAACTTCAAAACCTTGAAAGAATGTAGCAATACTTACTTTTTCATACAAGTACCTCTGGGATAATAACCAAAAGGAAATGTGGCCCACTGATAACATCATTCAGAAAAGACGAAGACAAATGCTTAGCAAACACAGTCTATACAGACACCATGTTCTTATTTACTCTTCAGCAACTCTGTACAGATGGCAGAAGAGGCTTACAGGGATCCTGTGTAAAGCAGTCATTAAATATAGTCCTAGCAGGTGTAAAGGCACCAAAAGTAACATGGCACCAGACACCCCAAAATAAAAAAAGGAAAAGTAAATTTGAACTCTCAACGGAGTTTGGCCTTCCAAAGAAGTTTCAGAAGTAGCTCTGGAGTGGCTCCCCTAGTGTGACCTCCAGCTGTTGAATGGTCTTTTGGCACTGGTGTTCCACTTCTTCACACTCATCTACAAGAAAGGAAAAAAATCTAAATTAAAACCTGTCATAGGCCTGATTCTCAATGCCCCAAGCCCTCTGACAGTCCCAGAAGCACAGCCAGGAAGTAGGGTAGGGGAACTACCTCCCTCCTCCCTCCGGCTTTCATCCCTCTTACAACATGGCTTTGGCAGAGACTAGGTAGATCCCTGGCATAGAAAGACACAGCCAAACCCAAAATTCACTCCTTTAGAGGCTCGCATGAGCCTCAGCAGTCAGACTCTGTGGAGGACACACTTCTTTCTACAATACAAAGACTTGGTGTCCTTGCTACTGCTTCTGCTTAGTGAAAAGAACAGTGAGGTACAGGCCCCAGCGCATCACAAACCTGGCTGTTTACACCAGCTTTACTGGCTACACTCATTGGCTTTGCTGCCATCATCAAATCATTTACACCTTTAAGCCTCTATGTCTTCCTTTGTAAAATAGGAACAATGGTGTTTACCCTAGTGGGAGGCTTCAATGAGATCATCCACGTAAGCACCTAACACTGAGAACACTGGATATCCTGACACTACACACTGATACAATAACCCCACATCTGGGGACCAAAGTATTCAATCATGCATAAAGTATGAGATTAACAAAAAACAATACTGCAGTTTGTAAGAGCACAAAACCCCACAGGCATGCAGTGACAAACATACTGTAAAAAAAACCTCTGTGGACAGTGAGGTGGTTCTCCTAGTCTGCAGAGGACTAGACCTGCTGACATCATACTCCATCCACAGCTGTGTCACCCAGGCACATATCCACAGAATTGTACTGTAACTACTTTTCAGTGTTGGGGGATTACCTTCCATCAGTTCTGCTAAGAAAGGAATGGATTCAGGGAGGAGGACAATATAATTCTCCTTTAGTTTCTCAGCCAGTGCCAACACAGTAATCAAGGTTGCAAACCGCACCTACCAGGGACAAGAGTAAAGAATAAAAAGTTTACTTATTGTCTATTGTTATGTTTACTATCTTAAGGCCCGATTCTAGACAAGCTCTTTTAAGACTAATGTTACTTCTCAAGCATTTATCTCACTTCTCTGTTTAATCATTTGGGTTCTGTTTGGAATATGGATAACCATATTGTTCCCTCATGAATGTCTTTTTATGACATAGTCCTAAGAACAAACAAAAAAATGCCACATACAAACTCAAGTGTGCCACTAAGTTTAACTGTGTTGGAGCTGGAATTTTTCATTGCAGCCTCATTATTTTTACTTCTTGGCTAATAAAGGTTTGAAGTTTAAACTGATACATTCTATTAATAAATTGGTTATATCCCTTGAGATTCTAATACGGTGATTAGTTTGAGAAGTGACAATTCAATTCATTGCTAAAGCCACTTGTAAATAAAGGTGTGGAATTTTAACCTTCACCCAAACTACCCAGGTCACTGTATTTCTGTAGCCACCACTCAACAAAAAAATCAGAAGCCTAATGTGTACAGAGAAGATGCTCTGACACACTGCTGTACCTCACGGGAGTGTTCTGTGGACAAAGCAACTGTCTAAGAATCACAGTGACATTTACATGGCACTTAAAAACACCAGGAATCATTTCAAGGTTTTGCCATTCAAGATCTGAAAGTCTTTAGAAGTTATCTCAATGTCTGTATCTGTCACACCACGGGTGGTTGGGAGATGGTGTCCATTAGTTATAAAGTCTATATGTAAAGTAAGAAATTTCTTAGGCTTCAGTTTCACTAACACCGTAGGCCAGACTTCCAGCACTAGAGGACAGGTGCAAAGCTGTTCCCTGCTGCTGTACCTGAAGCCTGTGCCCACAAACACATGCAAGTCACTTAGGTGGTTTGGGGCCATGCAACTTCATACCTTTGGCGAGGAGTCTCTGGTCTTCAGCAGAATCTGGTAGTTCAATGGTTTCCACAGAGAATCGTCTGCCATGGCCACTGAGAACTGTGCGATGCAGGGTATCAGGTGCTGTGTCACCCGCTGCTGGAACTCCTCTTCTCCTCCAAGCCTGTTTTCCAGCTGGAAGGAGGGAGACGAGGACTGTGAGCAACAGCTCTCATTTTTTCTCTTCTGTCTGAACACATACCAGTGTCTAATGTTACCATCCTTTACAATATGAGCAGGCTCAAACACTAGGTCCCGCTCTGCTGTAATATTGTCCCTCCACAGCAAATGTCTTACCTTCTGCAACTCAGAGTTTGCTGCTCTTAGCACCTGCCCTGTCCCTTAAGAAACCATGGAGGATTCTTTTCTCCAGGGGCTGCCATGCCCTGAGACAGGCCTGATGGGACACCATTAAAATACAGCTTTCAAAATTAATCAACCGTGAACTTTTTGAACATTTTGAAAAGTTCAAAAGAAAAACTCCATAATGAAGTCAGAGCCTTTAAAAAAATCAATTTTAAGTCATATAAAAGGATACCCCCCCACACACCAAAAAACACCCCACAAGAATAAAAACACCTTTTTAAAAAAGGCTCACAGGGGCCAGGGATTTAGCTCAGTGGTTCCACCACCTGCCTTGCAAGCACAAGGACGCAAGTTGGATCCCCGTTACCAAAAAACAAAAAAAGACTCAAAGCTATCCTTTGGCAAACACAAAACCTGTCTCGGCTGAGTGGTCAGAGGAGACAGCCCCACCAGTTACCTGATCCACTAACGGCATCATGAGGGCTTCTGCTCGCTCTTTACTCAGAAAGTGCTGGGTATCAAAGAGGAAAATCTTATATAAACAGTTCAGAATAAACTGTAAAAGTAGGCAGCACTTCTCAGGGTCCTGTTCAGAGTCAAAAAATGCTTCATCTGCGGATGGGAAAAGAGGTTAAAAAAGAAAAGGTAAATTTCAGAATTTAATCTCCAGTGTTTAAACCTGAATAACTTAACTACAATCGGAAGACTGTTTTAGAAATGCTCTACAAATCATAATCAGGATCAAAGCCAAACATAATCAAAATAGATGGCACCCTAAAAAACTGGTTACTTCTGGAGTTGGTAAGATCTGGCAAGTCAAACCTTCAACTTCAGTCAGGTCACTAACTAGCATTAGAGAAAAGCCCAATCTTGATTCTTACTTTGTTTTTTTAGACAAGGTCTCATTATGTAGCTCTCAGGCTGGCCTTGAACTCACTATACAGCAAAAGCTGGCTTCAAACTCATGGCAATGCTCCTGCCTCAGCCTCCCAAGTGCTGGGATTACAGGCATGTGCCACCACACCCAGCCCAATCTTAATTTTCATTATTATTTTTAGTGCAAGGATTGAACCTAGGGCCTCAGGCATGCTAGGCAAGTGCTCTACTACTGGCCTACACCTGCAGACCCAATTTTAATGTTTTAATCATTTCTAGTAACTAATAACTGTTTGCTTTATTCTTTCTCCTGACCATTTGATTAATAAAGTTTCCCCATTATGCTAAAATAAACACTAGCCTAACAACATTACAGAAAAAAATTCACTCTCCACTCCACGTTTAGTATCTTGTCTAGGCATAAGGTTGCTTCTAGCACTAACTGCTCACGTAAAGGTACAGCATGACCAAGAAAGCTACTAACCTGTTTTAGAGATGTTCACCTGGTTCAAGGTGTCAGCAAAAGGCTTCACCAAGTGGCCGGCAAAAAGAGTGAACAGCCCCTTCAGTTTCTCTGCAGTTCGGTCGGCCAGGTTGTAAAATGTCAACAGCCTGTCCTTTGGGGCACCTTCTGTTTTGGCCCAATCAAACAGCTGAAACCGTAACAGAAGATGAGTATATTCCACCATCCTGTCCTATCTCATCACGTAAGAGGCAGAGAAAGATGGGCTTACCTTGAAGAACAGTGGTCTGAAGGTGACCTCAGACAGTTTCACAACCATAGCCACCAGGCAGTCAATGATACAACTTTCTGTCTTCCCAATTTCCTCCAAGTCCTCCTACAAATGGGAGAGTTGATTTAGTAGCCAGAGTACTAACTAAATCATTTGGCAAGTACAACTGTTGTACAACCAGATTTTTCTCCGGCTCTCACCTAAGTGGAGATCAAAGCTAAGATGTAGGATAAGGACCAACTTACCTCTGAGTGCTGTGCCCGGAAGTCCAAGGCCTCTAGGAAAAAGGTCGTCAGCTGAGACTGATAAGAGGTGAGCTCCTCTTTTTTCATCACCCCGATGTGCTCTTGCAAGATGCCCATGAATGGGCTCATGTGATTCTAACAGGAACACAACAATGAGATGTGCCATTTTCATTATTCCCAGAGCTCGGCAATGTCCTTTCATAGGAATTAAACCAGCACATGCCTCCCTCTCCCTTCTCCAAAGTCCATCCAATGATCTTACCTTCCAGTTCTTCTTTATCTGCTTGTAAGTCTTGCCAATGGCTGGCAGCAGGACTCGGGGGGAGAGCTTGGTGGCCAGTGTCTTTTTAAGAGATGTGAGACGGATGTTAGCCTGTGACGCAGAGCCCATTTCACTGGTGATTTTCTCCAAATGAATCACCTAGAGGAATACAGAAAAACATAACTGATCTCTGAATGTGTTGACAAGCACACACAGAAAGAAAAGGGATGACAGTTAATTCAAATGCTCAGCACATTTAACACCCCAAAGAATCCCTCGTAAAGCCAGCCTTTAGTATCTGTGGGCAAGATGGGGCAGTCAGGGATGAAGAGAAACAGCTGCTTGTGGAAGTACTCAGAATACCCAACTGACGATTTCCTTAGAGGACAGGAAACTAGGGACAAGAGCCAGGATCTTTCTTGCCAAAAAAACCCAAGAAAGCTCCTTACAGCCAGTGCCCCCTTTTTAAAGTGCCAGTCATGGAACCCAGGGCCTCATACATGGTAGGTACATGCTCTACCACTGAGCTACATGGCTAGCCCTAGAAAGCTGCTTTTCAGCTCTGGGTGGAAGAGTGTGAATTGGTTAAATCATGTTCATCATAGAAGTAAACTTGCTAACTTCATAAATGGCAGATGATCACGAATAATATACAACAGAATAACAGAGAAATGTGGGCTCAACACTAATGGGTGCTTTTGATCAGGAATACCATCTGCTCACTGTGTGTGGACAGGCAGCTGCATTTTAGAAACTGGGCCTTTGCAATAGGAAACCTTCCACATCAGCAAAAAGCAGGAGTGATAACAGGTGGCTCTTCATGCCCAACCCCAAAGATCTTGCCGAGGAAAATAAAAAGCAAAGAATATATCCTGCACTGTTAACAAAGAGAAGCGCCCCATTGAGAAGTGATTCCCAGGTCAGTTTCACAGTGAAGCAGAAGGGACAATAGAGGAGAAAAACAGGCACACATTTGGTAAGAACAAGCACATCTTTTCAGAAAAAATCTGCTAAACAGAAACACTTAACTAATACAATAATAAAATTGGTAGTCCTTCACTTTTCCCTCCACCCTGTGTAGCACAAGGGTTACCCTAGCTCACCTGGGACAGAACTCCTTCCAGGTAGGGGCTGATGAAATGTGGGAGGGTCTCGACGACCTTGTGCAGGGCAGCCAGGGCACTGAGCAAAGAGACCTCACTGTGGACCAGCTCGCCAGTGCTCTTCACAGCTACCAGCAAGGATGGCATCAGTCTGGGAACAAAGAGCAAGTGCTTCAGAATAATCACACAGAAACAAGAGACCAGACGCTGGAGCAGAGAACAGTAAGAATAAATCCAAACCAAATTGTTAAATCACCATATACCCACAGCAACACATTTTATCATATAGCTAAGAGCAAGAGATCTGGCAGTGCCAACAGTACTGACACGACAGGAACTGTTAAAATCAGAATATATCAGAATCTAAATTACTGGACACAAGCCATGGGTCAGGACTGTGCACAAAGCCTGGCCATCCCTGTCTTGCAGAAATCCTTGGGGGTGGCAAGCACCATCTCTGGTTTATAGAGAGCAGAGCTCTCAGAGGTTAAATTGGTCATAGGTGGACAGCTAGTTCCAGCTGGAGCTACAGATGGAGTTAGGAATGTCAGACTTCCTAAGGCAGTAACATAAAGGCTGCTCCAGCACTGCCTCTCTTCAGGGAGCTGTGACACTGCTTTCCAAACACAGGTAGTCAAAGGGGAAAAGAAGTGGGGGACAAGCAACTACACAAAGAAGTGCCTCGGAAGGTAAATGGCAATGCTGTTTTTACTAGTCTGAAGAGAAGAGCAATTCTTTAACAAATCTACTTTTTGGTAATTTCCATTCTGTGGCCAAAACAAGTCACTAAGGCATGATTCTCCAATCTGCCTGGGAATGTGGTGGTTTCTGTTCCACAACTCCAGCAGCATACCTGGGAAGCTGGGGGATGGCCAGTGCCTCCAGGGTGGAGGCCACCTCTGCTATGCACAGCAGGGCACTGCCCAGGACATTCTTCTCTTCCTTTCTTTCTGGAGCAATCAGTTCCACTGCAGCATTCAACACTGGCACAAAAGGCTCTGGGTTTTCTGCACCAAAGTTCTTGCACAAAAGCTTTAGGGTATACAAAGCTGTCTGTCTGTTAATTGCTTGTTCTTCTTCTGCCTCCTTTTTCTTATGTTGCACAATGACCAGAAGGACTGGAATCAGTTTTAGGAAACGGTACACCTAGAGAACAGCCAAAATCTCCAAATAATTAAAGTTGCAAAAACTGCCAGTCCATTTTCCCATCTTCACAGCTTGAGACTCTAATGGAGAATGAGGGTTCCCAAGCCACATGACTATATGAAAGCAGTTGTTTTTTCATTCTCTTTACTGATAGGCAAATCGTATGCTCTCTGACCAACTTCTGATTTATATTTATATGAGGCATCCTAGCAGGAAAGGGTGATTAAAATGCTAATGCTAAAGCAATATATAGTCAATACCAAACAGGAATTCCATTCTAAGAGCTCTTACAACACATGTGTCTATTAGAATACCACACTTTATTTTTTAATTTTACTTATTTATTTATTCTTGATACCGGGGATTAAACTCAGGACTTTGTGCTTGCAAGGCAGGTGGTGGCATACCACTTTAAACACACACACACACACACACACACACACACACACACACACACCCACCACTTAGATGATATAACTATTTTATGTGGTACCAGTGGAGAAACTTCATGAACTAAAGCCGTTTTTTTTGGTACTGGGGATTGAACTGGGAACCTTGTGCTTGTGAGGCAGGTAGCAGAACCACTGAGCTAAATCACCGGCCCTAAAGCAGCTCTTAATAAAGCATGGGAAGGACCAAGGTCTGCAACATGACCCTCACTCACAGTTTTCCTTTTCCAGGATGTGCTATGCTGCAGCTTGTTATTCAAAAGATCCAGTGCTTTCCGGCGTACAGATGGTAGGGGATTGGTCACCAGACCTCTAACCACGGCAATGAATGTCTCTGTGGGCAGCAAGGCATTGACCTATAGAGTTTACATTTAACACAAAAAGGGGGAAAAAAAGAGAAAGAAAAATATCAACTTCAATCACAATAGACTTCTATGCTTTGGTAGGTGCTAGGTATTTCAGACCTAGTCATTCTTTTTTTTTTTTTTGGGGTACTGGGGATTGAATTTGGGTTCTCCTGCTTGCAAGGCAGGCGGCAGAATTACTGAGCTAAATCCCTGGCCCTGGACCTAGTAATTCTTACAATAACTTTTGAGGTAGTTATTATTTATCACAATTTATCAAAGAAAAATGAAACAAAACCTGATGCTAAGAATAAACTGTTGAAGCCATATAGCTCATTCAGCTATATTTAAATATAACCCTAATTTCAAAGCCAATATACCTAATAGATATTTGAACTTTACTGCATCTATATTGTGTATCTGAATACTAAAAACATCAGATTTAAGCCAGGCATGGTGGTACATGTCTGTAATCCCAGCTGAGGCAGGAGGATTACAAGTCTGAGCCCAGGTGTTCAACTTATGGAGATCCTTTCTCAAAACAAAACAAAACACCCTACCAGATTTATTGAGGCACCTATTTTTTTTTGGTACCAGGGATTGAACTCAGGTCCTTGCACTTGCAAGGCAGGCAGCAGAACCACTGAGCTACATCCCCAGTCCTGAGGCACCTACTTCTACAATATTAAAATCTGTATTGTGTTTTAATACAGTAAAACTGATAGGGAAGACTTTTCCGGACAATTGTATTTCTAGTCATTAAGAGTTTTTTGAGAAAAATCTGAGTGTCATATATTATTAAATTTATTCTTAGTAAAACTTTAAGTCAAATAATTTCTTAATGCTATAAAAACTAGTGACAAAACAGGGCTGGGGATTTAGCTTAGTGGTGCTGCCTCCTGCCTTTCAAGCGCAAGGCTGAGTTTGATTCCTGGTACCAAAAACAAAACAACAAAAACTAGTGACAAAACAGTGATTAAGGGGAGAGATGAAGACATACCTTATCTAATAAATCATAAGTTTTGCTAAGGAGTGCTCGCCAGAACTTCACAGTGAGTTTGTCTGCGTTTTTTTCCATGGACTGTGCCACAGTGTTGATATAGCCAAGAACGGTCTCGAGCAACCTAAAACACAGGAGCTACACTCAGCAAAAAGCAGCTAAAGCATTTTAAGAACTTGGCTTTATCTCATGCAGAATGTAAGAAATTCAATAATTTCATACTAAATTATTTCAAAAATTATGTGGAAGGAGAGATTATTACAGAGAAATACCATTAAGAAGTAAACAGAGGCTTCTGGAAGGATATTCTTCCTCAGTCCAGCTCTGGAACTTGGCAACTGCCAACTCTAAAAATAAGAGTGTCTCTTACTTTTAAGAAAAGTACACTAAAGTATCAGAGGAAAAAGGCATAATGTATATGGCTTAGTTTCAAATGGCTCAGAGACAAAAATGTACACAGAGAACGACAAAAGTGTCAATTGGAGAACCTGGCTATAAAGTCCATGACACTTGTGTTTTCTACTCTTCTAGTCTTTCCGTAAGTTTGAAATTATTTCCAAACAACAACAAAAAATAAACATACCTCTGTTCAAGGCCATTCAAAATCTGAGGACCACCACTTTCAACCACCTAAGTTTTAAAGAAGGTTCCATTAGAATAGTATAGACCCTGCTAATGAAGTCATTTGAAATAGGTTACATAAAACTCAAGGTATTCATGCAAACCTCTCCATTTAACTGCTTTCTGGCATTAGAATTTAATCAGGTTCAGATCATCCTCACTGGAGTATAGTAACTCCACCTCTCTTAATTTATTTCAATTATTGTCTATTTGTTCACCGTGGCACCCCAGAAGTACTCCCCTACTTGTCACCCATCTTGCATAGATAACACTATTTTGACATTTAAACATGTAAATATCACTTTGCCTCTTTCCAGAATTATGGAACACATCTTTTTGTGTTTGGCCTCTCTCTTGCAAAACTGTTTCCCTGAGATTCACCAGATGGCTGTGTTGTGCACTCATATTCACAAAAGACAGACAATTTATCCACGGCTCTTGGGAGCTGCCATAAGCAATGCTCTCATGAGCATTCTTAAAGATGGCTTCTGGCATAATGTTCATTTACTTCTGCTGAGTATGCACCTCTTGAAAATGAAACCGCTGGGTGGTACGGCTTACGTATTCAACCCTGGTAGGTCCTGCCATGAAGTTTTTCATGGTGAAGTGTACTAGTTTTCTATATTCACTAGTCATGCCTCACATTTTCATAAGACATTTGCCAAGATGTAAATTTAAAACACAGTTCCTTCAGCAAAAGTAAGATCATTTTATCATAAGTATATTTAAAGAACACGTTACCTTTTTGAGAAAATTATTGGAAGCCAGGAGCTGGGCCATGAAGGACACTGACAAAAATTTAAAGTGTCTCAGTTGCTTGCTTGTGTGAGTGTCCACGTTAAAGATCTGGAGCATCTCTTCTTGCGACTCACACTTCTTTGATACTGCCTTGGCAAGAGTTTCTAAAAAACAGCAACAGAACAGGTGACCATACTCAGCTTCTACCCGATTTCTTGGCATAACGAGTTCTAATACAATATGAGGGGACACAATTTCAGACGTAAACATGTTCGGCTATGACACCCAGCCTTTCCTCTCCCAAAGCAGTGAGAAATGGGAACATACTTGCCAAGACAGTAACCCACTGTCCTGAGGTGTGTAAGTCAAGAAGCAAACCCTAATAGGCAACTGAGAAAGTCAAATAGGAGATGAAGGTATTCCAGAAGGAATCTTGCACTCCTGGTTCTGGATAGATTTTCTGGAGCCTCAGGGTCACTTACTTCATAGCCCAGGAGGCTGGAGGAGGGTTATTAGCCTTAAGGCATGGCACATAAAAGTCTGAAGATGTATGTTCTAGACTACCAACTCTACATGTAGAATTCCTTGCCCAGGTGTATCTAATTTAAACGGGTTTGGGGGTACAGTGATCAGGGGCCCATAATGGGTTAAAGACTATCACTCTAGGGAAATAAAGGGGTAGTTCAGTGGAAGAGCACTTGTTTAGCATGCACAGGCCCTGAGTCCCATTCCCCAAATCACACAAAAACAAAACTTAACAACACTGTGCTACAGGGCTCACTGTGCAGACTCTCCCTTAACCGAGTTGCCACATACAGTTCTCAGGGAACTTCTTGGTCTGCACCCACTAAACATGAGCTGACTTCATGACAAGGCCAACAGCTAGTCTCAGGGAATCTGTGGAGCCGGCTCTCTACTGTATCTTAGTCTGCTTCAAAGGCAGGAAACTAAGAATGTTCAACATACCAGACCTTCCTTAAGCCAGACTTGCTGATGCTAGGATGATTGGAATTGTCTTCAAGACTCTGATATGTGAAAAAACTTTAATATTTCCTTTTGATATAAATGTCTTCACAGGTATTTCAGTGGGAAGCTTAGAAACAGTTACGGTCCAGCTACCTTACTGCCATGTGAACATAATTCATCTTGGACATAGGTGACATTCCCCATCCAACACGAGTGCAAGACACAGGAATAAAAGCACTGTGTGAGAAGGGGCAGGGGCACTGCTACCACTGACCACTTCCTACAGGAGCCAGAAAGTACAGTACAATAATATACTGAAATTAAAAGTGATTATTGTACCCGAAAAGCCCTTCTAAAGGCATATGATGGTTCTAAGGATAACAAGCGTTTCCTCTTCTTCTCCTTGGCTCTCAGACTTGATGGCAAAGAGCACTGGAGTTACGCTTACCTTCTTTATCCTCAGGCATCTTTACTAAATACTGGAGGATATCCATTAAGCTTTGAATCTGATGCTGGACACTAAATTCACAACAGACAGAAATCCAGAATTCAGTATCTGCCTCTAAAATAGCATCCTGTATGGAGAGAAGGGACAAGGTAACAAAACTGGACCTAAGAAATAGGCATTGGTAAGTACAAATGAAGGGTCATGTTCAAAAACTATTCCTTAGCATACATACTGTCACTATGTGACTTTCCTTATGGTCCCTACCAGATAAGTAAGTTGGTAAGCTTATGTTAAATAGCTGTTTGTAAGAAATGCGAGGGTAGACTCCCAGAAGAGTCTATACTGTGACTTCCAGAGAAATTTTACATCTTACTACGGAGTAGCTCTAGGCCTACTCCAGGATTCCATTTCGTCTGTAATGTTTTTTTGTTTGTTTGTTTTGTTTTTTGGTACTGGGGATCGAACTCAGGTCTTTGCGCTTGCGAGGCAGGCCACTGAACCGCTGAGGTAAATCCCCGGCCCTTTTTTTTCCTGTAATGTTTTGTTGTTTTTTTGTTTTTTTTACGGATCCCATTTCTAAGACATCACTTACAAACATCCTTGACCCATGAGCTCTGCCCTTGTCTATCCAAATGTGACCCTTCCAAGCAATCACTAGGTCTGTACCGCTGATGTGGACACTCCCTGTTTCCTGACAACATGCCTTCAAGGCCACTTTTAAGAGACAGTCTCACCAAGTTCCAACCCTACTTTGTTGGGCTTAAAACATAACTGCCCAACCTGGCACCAGAGATGGTTCTTAGAAAAGGCAAATTGTCTTTAGTAGTTGTTTTGGTAGTACTGAGGATCTACATGCCACAGGCTCTGACAGCAAGTTGTGTTTATTTTTGCAGTTTGCAGTACTGGGGATTGAACCCAGGGTCTCATGGTAAGCTAAATCTCCAGCTCTTCTAAAAAAACCTTTTTCTCTGGAGATAGGGTCTCATTAGGTTACCCAGGCTTCCCTCAAACTTGTGATCTTTCTGCCTCAGTCTCCTGAGCAACTGGGATCACTGGCGTGTGCCACCAAGTCCAGCTTCTAGAAGCATCAGAGTAACAAAAACATTTTTGAAAAAGGTACTGTGGGCAAGTTACTGTTAAGTAGTGCACAATGAGTATCACCAGCCCCACGTTTAAATGGACAAGATCACAAAATCTGTGTCAATGCCACCGCTTCCTGTCTTACCACCATACCCAACATACCTTTTCTCCATAGGCAGCCACCAGCACTGTTTTAGTGACATACTGTTCAAAGAGTAAAACAAGGAGAACCCAGAGGAACTTTTCTACGCCTAGCGTATCGATGAGTTGAACAAGGATAGGCAGGCGCCTGTGCTCAGGAACATGTGGCAGTGCATCCACAAACACGCTGATGATTTTCACCACTATTTCTTCCACATTTCTTGTGACTTCTACAGAGTCTCCCGTATCAGACTGCAGAACAGCAAAAGGACATGAGTAGGTGAAAAAGTAACTTTCCTAAAAATAAGTCTGAAGTGGACAGAATAAGGCTTTTCAGAGTTGTCAAGTTATTGAAATAATTTTAATAATCAAAGCCCTACAAGTAAAGAGCCAAGAAGTACCTATTATATCCTAGCCACTGTGGCCCCAAAGGGAAAACAGTGTATGGTGTGAGCCATGCCCCAAAGAAGATTTATAAACCCCACAAAACAGGCTGCAGTCACAAAAAGTAACAACAGGAGGCAGTGAATGGCATATGTCAAACGTGGCAGTGACAGCAAGCCTGCTTGGGCCTCCTGAGAAGGTTGTGCACGCACAAGACGGTGTGCTTTTTGGGAAGAATGCATATAACCTAGGTGGGCAGAGCACAGAAAACCCAACGGCTTCCTGCTGCTCTCAGAATAATGTTCAAACCATTTCACTCTGGTGCTGGTGATCAAAACAGTAATGCCAAATAAATTTAAAAAACAAAGAAACTTGGATGAATAACCTAATGCCCTCTACCCTGACCTGTCTCAATGTTGTTTTCATTATCAATCCATCTACATGACATTCTTCAAACCCTGAGCACATGCCCAAGCCAGGCTACTGACAGGCTACTGATGCTGCTATTTCGCTGTCCAAATCCTGACCTCTACTAGTTCAAATTCTACTTAAGAAATTGGCCATCCCAGTCCATATGGACTTTTCCCTCTTCTGAAACGTAGCAATTATTAGTGCATTTGGCACATAGATTAACGCATAGGGCTATTTTTTTCTTAAGACATGTCTATACTCACCTGCTTGTGAGACACAGAAAACACCAATTTAATATCAAGATTAATATGCTCATCCCTGGAACAGCTGAGACACGAGACATCAATAACTAGGGATAAGCAAATTACTCCAGCAGACAACCAAGTCCTTCCACCATTAAGATTACTTTTTGCTTCCTAATTGCTCTATCCTCACTGGCAAAGCCAACCTCACTTCACTGAGCACTTGCCTCCTACATGCTTGGTAAATGTTTGCTGGACTGCATGTAAAAAACTGGCCACTGTGGCTCTAACAGCTCCCCTCCCCTCGACCTTATTAGTTTGTTAGTCTAAGAAACTGTATTGTCAAGCAAACATGGTATTCTGAAATAGACAGCTGATATAAATTCATTCCATCAGCATGAAGCTAAGAACTTTCATGGTTATAGCATCAAAGCACAGCAGAACCACATATTATAGGTTTGCTTGTATTTCTGGCAAAATTCTCAAGACTGCTTCCTACCTTCATCCCTCTAAAATTTAGGATGCACAAGTTACTTAAGCACTTAAGAAAGGCTTTCGAGGGCCAGGGATTTAGCTCAGTGGTGCCGCCTCCTGCCTCACAAGCACAAGGTCCCAAGTCCAATCCCTAGTACAAAAAAAAAAAAGGCTTGACTCCACTTATGTGCAAAATTTAAAAAATTAAAACTTATGAGGGGGTGAAGGGAGGGTAGGGGTAAGGGGAAAAAAATAAGAATCAAGACTTGTCATGTAGAGGTACAAGATCCCAACAATGAATGTAACTGTACTGTATCCCTAAAATGTACCAATAAACTCAAC